CTCTTTACACATACCAAGAGATTTGGCAGTATCAATGCATAAATTGTTTAAATCATCAACAATACTATCCAATTCACACTGAGTAACATAATTACAGTCTAGGTCGCTAAGTTTTCATCAATAGTCTCCATCTCATTAACATTGAACTCGTTTTTATAAACAACTTTAAGGTCATTATTCCACAGAGTTTTAAGAGATTTAAATGTGACATCAGATTGGTTACCGGTTCATCACGTTGCGTATTATCAACAGGATCCATGGTAACCCGATTATTTGTGTTAAAACAAAATTGAACAGCGACAGCACTGTGGGCATCAGACAAGCATTTATCCAACACATCTACACGAAAGTTAGTTATCTTGGGCATAAATATTGATGAAACAAGAACATAATCTACTACACTGGACCCTTTTGCGGTATGACAAGTATAGTTCCCAACACCATCATCACTTCCAAACCTTCCATTTACAATTTTTATATCAAGACTTTTACAAAGTTCTATTAAGCTGTAACCATTATTATTAGTACACTTATCCATGCTACAATGCTTGGTTTTAACATTAAGCTTTTCAAGGTCAGATTTGATACTGAAAGAATTATCATTTGCCAACTCCAAACCTCCTTCAAAAGCAACTACATCTTCAAGATCAATAAAGTCATTCAAAATACCAGTTCTGGAATTAAAGTCCCCAAGTAAAACCACAGGAAAATCTAAGCTAACACTGAAGTTGATTAAGTCCTCAGACAAATTGTCAAACATTTCATTATGGTGATATAGTGACCCTTCACAAGGAAGATAAACCGCACCTAAAATAAAGGGATCGCAACTGACATTACCGTTAAATTTTAACCAAACCACAAAGTCAGAACAAGAGTCACTGAGAACTTCTACATGATTCGCGAGAGCTGATCTCACATATACACAAATACCGTGTGCTCCACCAAACTTATGTTTTACATTTTTAGGAGGCATAATAAAAGGCTGAGCAGTAATACGAATGATATAATGTGATAAATTTTCATTGATTAAGACGAGACAATGTATTAAAGCTAGAGACAATGTATTAAAGCTAACGTTCTTTCATTTCATAAGAAAATTTAAGTCCATCTTTCAATGGACTCCAAAAACTATGTATTATAGGCATCAATTCGACTACGCGCAGTCAGAAGGACTGGGTTGTCCGTGCCGTACGTCCGTTTGTTTGAAATGGTCCGCCATGTTTAATATACAATACAATATACATATATATTTCCAGTTGGCACATATAAAATTACACATTTTAACGCTATTTAGTATTCAAAAGAAGAACAAAAATTAAGTTCTACTTACAAATAATAAATAAATATTTAACAAACATCGTTTATAAGTATGATCGTATTAACAAGTTAAATATACCGGATATTAGTTTAATCGGCGAACATTTTATTGCTGTATATCAGTAATCGATTATATAATAATAAATAATCGATTACTTAAATAAAAAATAAAATAATAATAATTGTTAATTGTTCATATCTAAACGCAATGTGTGTATACTTTTGACGAGAGGGTTGTATGTTTGTTTGTTTTTACATTGTTGCGAGGAGGGTGGGGACGGTTATTCCATCAAAGAGGTAGCTAGGGCAAGTATCAACACAAAGTAATTGTCCATCATCATACCGTATTTATAACCACATGTCCTATCTTCTTGTAATTTATTTATTGTCTAATGTACATAACTATTGCAGTTTCATTAATGATACTTAAATATTGTATTTACATTTTCATCTTTCATTATCATGTTATTGTTATACATTGTTAGTTAAGTAATTCGTTCAAACTAAGCGCATTGTTCATTTCACGTTTCTTGTTAATCCTTGTTACATATTTAGTTTAACCGTACTTTTCATTTCACTTGTTTTGTAAAGCGCTTAGAAACTGTACTTGTATACCAGCGCTATATAAATCTTAAATATTATTATTATTATTATAATTTGGCAAAACTTCATCGCTTCTATTTAAAGGGCAAGTCAACTATTTAATTTCAATAGAAGCAGAAAAAATCAGACAAACCGATCAAAAAAGTTTGAGCAAAATCGGATAACTAATAAGAAAATTATGAATTTTTAATGACATGAAAATCTATGAGAATCACAGGACAAATTCGCAACTCACCCATGAGTCTGTGACGTCATTGCCTCACTATCCATATTGATAATATAAATTCCAATTTTCCTCCTAAAAAAATCTTCTTTTCTCACACTAGCATCCAAGTTATATTGGTAGTAATATGTTCTTGTGTGGATGCACTAATTTTTTTCAGTTAAATTATGAAAAATGTGAAATTTGATATACTATTTATACATGAATATAGAATATACAATATTAAAAAAATAGTATCAATTCTTCAAAGTTCATAAAAGATTTTGTGAAATTTCATGCACGCAATATGATACAAAACATATAAACTGGGCAAAGGCATGGGGAAATCAAGTTTTGGGGCATAAAAAGGGAAATTAATGGGATAAAAAAAATATATAAAGCAATTGATGAATAGTTAGGCAATGACGTCACAAACTGATAACCAATTTGTGTAGTGATCGATTTTCTAAGTTCCATATATGTTCATACTTTTTAAAAAATTCATTACTTCCTTACAAAAGCTCTTGGGGAACTGAATTCTTGGCTGAATAAAAATAAGTTGATTATGAATAGTGATAAAACCAAAACGATGCTGCTAGGATCAAAGCAAAAGCTTAGATCATTAGATAACAGTATGCTGTCGATTGAATTAAATGGATGCCAATTGGAATGTGTATATACATATAAATGTTTGGGAGTTATAATTGATAACAGTCTTGACTTCAAAAAACATGTCGAAAGTATTGCTTTAATTGTGAAACAGAAATTAGGAACTATTCGTCGATGTAAACATTATTTTGATAAAGCACAATTGAACAAACTGTACTGGGCTTTTGCAGTGCCCCATTTAATGTACTGCTGTACCGTTTGGTCAGGGAGATCTGAAGCAAACCATAGTAAACTGGAAAGATTACATAAGAGGGCAGCATATATGATATCTCGTTTTTCCTGGGAAACCCCATCTGAACAAATTTGTGAAATTCTATCCTGGCCGAAAATAGATCATCTGTTTTTTAGAGCATCTTGTTGCATGATTCACAAATGTTTACATAAAGCTGCACCTGAAGTGCTCGGTGATAAGTTTATTTATATTAAAGCGATATCATCTCGGAGAACAAGGAGAATAAATAAGATGCTAATTAGGATGCCACATGTTCGTACGACCTTTTTCCAGAAGTCATTTCTTGTCACAGGTCCATCAAACTGGAATAAATTACCCGAACGTATTCGATTTATAGAAAATATGAAACCATTTAAACAAGAATTGGCATAAATACAGGACCCGCCGGGAGAGCAGAAACGTGATGCGGCTACCATAGGTAAATAAGACCCTATCGTATTTTTTAAAATTTGTTATATATATATATATATATATATATATATATGTTATTATCATCATTGTTATTATCATTATTGTTATACCGTGTTCAAAAAGATCGTCCCGCCCCTATCTGCCAACTCAACTGCTCATAAGACTACTTTAGTAATAGCGCAATCTGTTACTAACCAAATGTACATGTACTGGATGTATACTAATGACACTGACCTCACGTTTTGCCGGGCTTTGCCTAGACATGAATAAGGACCTTCTTGCATCATTAGTGGACGATAACTGGACCAAGCGTGTTTCACAGGTGATCGACCACCAAGGAGTTTGTTCGTTCTATGTTGGTATGTGTATGTTGGTGTGTGTTTGGTATACTGTTGTACTTGTTATGTGTTTAAATGTTGTGTGGGGCGGGGGTAGTAGGTGTTTTCTAGCTCTTTCTTTTTTTATATATACTTTTTTTTTTGTCTCTAAAGGAAATTTAAGAGGAAAACAGAATATTGTAGAAAAGAGATTTATGATCAAACTGGTCGAGAAAATAGTACAAACTTTATTTGCGACTTTTTTTTTTTTTGGGGGGGGGGGGTGAACATATAATTTTGTTTATGTGAATATTTTTCATCTGTAAATGTTTAACTTTAGTTGGAACCTTGTATGTAAATGTAAAAGTTCATTTTCAAATTGATTAAGATCTATGTTAAAAATATGTTTATTAGTTTGTATACAATGTTATAAATTATGTACAATTTTTCATTATGAGAGAAATGAATAAAAAAAAAAAACTATGAAAACAAAGGATAAGGCAATGCAAGGAAAGTGGTTGCTGCTGTTGTTTATTATTTTTTTAATATTTCACTGTTTGCTTCAATTAGGATATATGGCATTTGTTATACATATTACTCATTTCGTTATTCTCTATGTTCAAATCCTTATATAACCTGGTTTGCAATTTTTTGTTTGCTAAAGTCGTATTTTGTAATTTTCTATATTGATTTATATTTTGATGTGTTTGCAAAATGTATATACTTGTTTGTGTCATGAAGGGTCTCAACGAAAACCAGTAAAGTTTATTTGCTGATTGGGCTACCCTTCTTTTTAAAGGTAGGCGTTACTACTGCAGCTAGAAGGGATTAGACCACACAGCGAGCCAACGAGGTCACTGTGACAGGTGGCTATCTCATTAACTCAGCTCTCATTTAACATAAGAAAAAGAGGATCATGGGGGACCAACAGGCACCAATTTGGGAAGTTTTCTATATAGAGGGAGCAAGTAGCTACAAGTAGGACAGTGTGCCTTTAAAGTTGTTTAATGATAAATAATCGGTATTTGTTGTGGTTTAGTCCTGTTTGGACGCTTCATCGATCTGTGACAACATTATACAGTGTTTCTTCATGATGTCCTTCGAATCAGGATCTATACTGTCTAATCCTCATTAAGCTCTCTTTAACGACTCGGCGAGCAACAACACAACCTATGTTTGCCTCATTGTATACGCTCTCTCCTATTCTGCTACAATTATTGATACACGATCTGCTATTAAATCCTTGTTTTGAATAAGATTCTATAGCGTCGACCTTATCCGGTTCCATAATGTTTCGTTTCCCAAAAGCGGAACGTTTCTTCATGTAGACGTGAGTTCCGTGAGACTCATCTGGGTGTTGTAATGTTAACGAATAACGCATTCATGATCAGCAATCAAACAGATAGAGTTATCTTTCTCCAGCTGCAGCGGTGGAATCCATTCCTATCTCACTCAACCCCGGATTTAACTACCTAGCGACTTCAAACTTGTGCAGAAATTTCTTTCCAAAGTCTTACTCGGAGTTTCAAGAGCATGGACCCGGTACACTTCAAATTTGTAATGGCCTGGCTTCTGCTAAACTACTTGATATTAAGTCATATTACAAAAGGTAGGTCTTATTTCGTATCATTTTGCATCATGCATATACTAAGACAATGACGATGATGATGGTGGTGGTATATGATGATGATGATGATTATTAATGATATTATTTCATGTATTATTAACACTCTTATCATCATTATTACTACTACTACTACCCATATAGTCTAATAATCATTTAATAATAAATAATAATCATCATCAAATGGTTATTAGAGTAGACCGTATGGACAGCACGCGAAATGGACGTTAGACAAACTTGCATTTAGACTAAATAAACAATAGACTAAATGGGTAGTAGACTTAATTGAGATTAGTCCAAATGTAAGTAGACGCAATGGTTATTAGACCATGTTGATAGTAGACGGGTAGACCAATCGGCAACAGAAAGACAGAGGGAAAACAGATTGTGACGTTGTTCAAGAGAAACGGTAAATCCAATCGCGATACAAGATGATTCTGAATATAAGCAGAAAAAATGAGAACTTTAAACACGTCGTAGGAATACTTAAAAAATATTTTAAAAGATATAAATGCGACTGCGTCTCCTATATACCCAGGCCCTAAATTCAGTTTAGGAAATGGATGGACTTTTGGTGTTTTTTTTGTAGCATTTTCTAATTGTATTCATTCAGTACAAAATATGTAAAAACAAATAAACAAACAGCTTCATTGATTTACATAACATAAGATAGTTTAATACACAGTACACAATGTTTTCAAATTAATTATACTGATTGAATATTATAAATCAAAGCGTTATACGCACAGACAGACACACCACACACGCTCACATACTCAGACACACATACTTACATATCCCCCCTTCATTCCAAAGCTTAACATTTGTTGGATTTTGAAAAATGTTATTAAAAAAAATGAGTCTGAGAAAGAAATATTTGCCTCGCCGTCGCTGTAGAAGTTGTCCCATTTTCTAAAGTGAAGTGTTAAAGTGCCCCTCTCCCCCGCTAATTCCTTTTCTTCTTGCCTATTTTCTATAATTCTTTTTTAATTTCTTGAGGAATTGGGGGTCTATTTTTAGTTGAACTATATCTAAAAATCATATGTTTTGTCAAAAGAATAATGTGATTTAACAGTTGTTCTTCTCCCGCATTGGATCTTTTTTTATCCCGATGTGAATTTCTTGCCAGTGTAGATTTGTTAACGCTGATAAAGCGTGACATATCACGATGAAAACAAAAAGCCTATCTCTAGTAGTTCTTGAGATATCATCATAACGAGGCCAATACCTGGAATTTCATAAGTTGACCTCTGTGACTTTTGACCTAGTTACTCCAAAAGCTATACTATCTTCAAGTTTGAAATTCATATTTCAAGTGGCTCTTGTGATATCGCGTTAACGAGAAAGCGGGACGGACGTATACAGACGGACGGACAGACGGACGGACGTACAATCCGAAAACATAATGCCTCCTGCACCACCAATGGAAGGCGGAGGCATAAAAAGGAAATTTCTGGTTTGAAATTGGTCCAAGAAAATTGACAGTTCGGTCATGCAACTGTGATGTCCTTTATCATATTCATATACTTTTTGTCATTTGTTTTGAACATTGATATATAATCATGTTCTCTATTTTTAAAGTCAGTTCCTATTTTGTCTGAGGTAACGAGTATCGAAACAGGAACTGAATTCCCAGACTGAATTCCTGTATGTGAAATAAAAGGATGATTAATAAATCGCCCTCTTCCCCTCTGCTACAGCTCACAGAGTAGACGTCAACACAACGTTATCGGCAGAAAGCAACATCACGACGGAGAAAGAGTTAGTTGCGAATCTCCTCTCGGAATATGGCGACACTTCTGTTCGGCCTGTCAAGGATCACCTCCAACCAGTGGAAGTCTTTTTCAGAATGCTCCTCTTTGAGCTAATCACCTTGGTAAGGGTAGATCACGTTGCTTTGGGGAATATTTTTCCAGGGAGCGAGTGGTTTACGGTTAGTAGAGGTGTTGTGGACGAGTGGATAAGTCACCGGACTGTGGATCGCAAGGTCCGTGGTTCAAGTCCCGCAGCACTAATGTCCTTTGGCAAGACATTGATCTACATTTGCCACTCTCCACCCAGGTGTTAAATGGGTACCCGGTAGGATGCGAAAGCTAATGTTGTTAGATTAGCAAGTGTGCGCTTGTAAAAATGACGCCTGGCTGTAATGCTCCCCAGGGAGTGGAGAATGTGCATATATTGTGTGCGGGTCAAGGCCTGAATCCAATGACCGGGCTAATAATATACTTATCTGTAAAGCGCTTTGAGAGGACCTCCGGTCCTGAAAAGCGTTTTATAAGAACGAGCTATTATTATTATTATTATTAGTGTTACGAAGGGTACTTAGCAGATGGTAATAGGGACTTTTAGATTTACACGACGAGAACGTGGACCGCCACGTGTGACATCCTTTTAAGGTAATGTGACGTCCTTTTAAGGCACTGCTGGGCACGACCCAGTGCCTTAACACAATGTCCACGCTTTCCTCGTGTAAATCTAAAATTCCCTAATTAAACCAGTGGGGGCCCCCCTCCTCCCCCGAAGGCTTAAACTTGTAGACATCTTTTTAGGAGCAAGCAAGAAAGCACACAGAAGAAGACGACAAAATGTTCTCATAATAGAATTCGCCTAAATTAAAAGATATGTCCTTTGTCCAATTCCCTTAGATCATAATGTTCGTCTCGAGCAATACAGTTATACTAAAAATAGGATCAGTAAATGATAAAAATGCTGTCACTGACAAGACACCTGAATTCAGGTTCGAATCTCAGCCCGGCACTAATGGCCTTTGGCATGAGATTAAACCACCGCTCTCCACTCAGTTATCAATGGGTACCTGGCAATCGCTGGGGATGATAAGAATAGCAGGGCCTCATGATGAACAGCATAGAAACAAATTTATTCTTCATTCAATTATTGTATTATTATTTATCATTTTGTAGTTCATGATCTATTATCATCATCATTATTATTATTAGTTCTATTATCATCCTTATCATTATCTTTATTATTTGTATTATTATCATCATCACTTCTTTGACGTAATGCCCAATGCCTGAACCACTTTCTGTAATTCCCCATAATCTCTAAATATTTTTTCTCTCTCACCATGTTTCCAGGATGAAACACATCAGATGGTCACAGTTCGCTCCAATATGAGACTGGTAAGATGTTATACGGTAGGCTTGCGGGTGCACCATGTGAGAGAGAGAGGGAGAATGTTCTCATGTAATACAATTGCACAGACGGTATTTCTATATCATAAACAAAATCCAAGCTATTTTAGCTGTGCCATGTCCCACCCTCAAACGTGTTAAGTTGTAGTATATCTGACTACTATACTAGCTGATAGCATTAATAGTTGGAGCTCGGATCAGCCTGTTTGTCAAATTGTTACAATCATGTATGATACCGTAATACCATTCCATAATATTTGGTAATGTATTGACATGCCGTGGACTTGCTCTCTAATATACATGATAGAAGATAGTGTAAATAACAAGCTTCAAATGGAGTGGATCATCAGTGTCCATGTGCAGAAGGTAATAATTCGCTGACACCAGACTTGGTAGAAATACTACGGTGGGTGTACAAGTCTGCACACATCAAACCCGTAGTCCCATCACGAAATACCTCCTAGTCTTTCTTGGAGAGTCTTTAAAAGGGAAATGAAAGATAATGACTGTACCATATTAAATATGAGTGGAAAATTCAAAGCATTACGTAAGGCCTGTTGGTCATGAAACTGAAGACAAATCTTAGTGATTGACAGCACATAATTTGGGTAAACACCCGAATTGTGTCGAATTTCCCATGAGAGCCCATTAATATGCGTCTTCAAAATGCATGTAGTAATTCATACCAGTAATCGAGTCTTTCAAATTCATACACTTCTGTGAGCGTGCGTGTGTGTTTGTGTGTGTACGTGCGTGCGTCTGTGCGTGTGTGTGTTGTGCAAATTTGAGGCTTTGAAATACAACCCACAACGGAAACACAGATAATAACGTCCTCGTCTGAAAATTAATAAAGATAGCATGCCATCAAATATCAAGTCGGAATTAAATGAAGTCACACGCACAAAAAGATGATAAGTTTTAAATCATTATCGTTTCCATGGTAATAGCAATGGACAGATGAGTACCTACAATGGGACCCGGATGAGAATGGTGGTATCTACAACATCACACTCAAGACGAATCAAGTTTGGAGACCTGATGTAGTCTTAGATGAAGAGTAAGTGATGATTTTTAGCGTTATATGCACGTGGTCATTAATGTAATTAAACCAATCTTGATTAAACCAGAGAGTTGGAACTTCCTGGTTGAGCGGAGGCTTTACCTTCGTACCTGGATGAGGATCAATATCCCCGTTTAATCACAGAATAAAAAGGCATCAACGCCATAAATATATTAAAATCATGGCACATTAATTTGCAAAACTATATATATATATGAAGACAAAAACCACGGAAATAAGCCACAAACAAGCAAGAAATAATATTTATATCCAAGTAACTTCTTCCATTTTCGTACCTCAAAATCAGTCTGGACCGCGATTTCATCAGTATTCCTGAGGCCGACACGTTTGTGATCGTCCAGTACACCGGAGCGATGGACTGGCTATTTCCGGCAATCACCACCAGTGCATGTAAGATGAACATACAGTATTTCCCGTTCGACACACAGCAGTGTGTCCTCACTTTTTATCCGTGGACACTGGACGAAAGCAAGGTAAGTAGCGAAAGGTGCACGCCAAAATATTATTTGAATTTGATTGGGGCTGAGACGAAGATGACGAACAAAAGAAGAAGAATACAAGAAAGAAAAATAAAATACAAGAAGAAGAAGAAGAAGAAGAAGAAAGAAAAAAAGAGAGAAAGAAAGAAGATTAAGAAGATCCTTAGAATCATGGGCAAGATTTCTTCATTTTCATTTTTTTTCCAAACTTTATTTTTATTTAATTATCTATCATAACGCAGTTTGCCAGTATGAGTAAGACATTGCTCTCATGCTGCTATTTGCCTATATAATGGAATTAAGAATTCACAAACGAAAATACAACGGGAGGGGGGGGGGGGTGGATGTTACACGAGATTCCTCCAGAGACGTCATATTGCGTGACCGCCTCTCACCAGTTGCTTCGAGTATTGCAACCATAATCATTATAAATAATGATTAGATCAATTTTCATAGCGCAGCTACTGTATATACATTATTGAAATAAAAATATCTCCTGTAAGTATTATTTTTTGTTTTTTCAGCAATTTTAATTTTTTCATATCCTCTGAATGGCCTAACCGTCATTATTTTTTAGGTCTATCTTCTGATGTTCATATCAATCAAGACTTATAGTAGGCCTGTTCATATTCCCTTATATGCACCAATCCTGCATCTTTAAGTTTAAACACCATTCAGAGTAATGCGAAATTACGACAGACGTATCAAAATCAAAATTGTCATCATAATTCGTAATCTTCTTCTGATTTAAATTTTCAGATGCGTTTCTTTGCTAAGAATGACGAGGATGCCTTGCAGATGCGGTACGTCCGCAATGGCATCTGGTCTATGACAGACTTCAAACCTGAGAACTTCAGCTTCAGGTACATTTGCTGTCCCTACCCCAACGACCACATCCGTTATACCCTGACCTTCGATCGAGAATACGGTTTCTTTCTTTCCAATATAATCGTTCCTGCTATTTTCCTGACGTCGTTGATGCTCGTTGGTTTCTGGCTTCATCCTGACTCGGGGGAGAAGGTCGCATTCACCGTCACCAACCTGTTGGCTCTGATTCTCTTCCAGCAGCTGGTCAGTGATAGCATGCCGCCCATCGGTGAACCAAGATCCATCATAGGTTTGTCCGCAATAAGAAAATACGACTAACTTTAATACAGTGAGGTAGGGGAGGGGGCATGGGGCGGCTATATGATACACGCTCGGGTACCTAGATCTGCAGCCAATAATCTTTACTATAACCATGCTTACTGAATTATGTATCAAGTTAATCTAAACCCTGAACCAAACTCTATTCGTGAAGCTAAACTTAACACTAAACCTAAAACACGTTTTTTTTTCTTTTTCTTTTTCAAAGCAATTTTGTTTTATTTCTTCAAATTTGTAATACAAACCATAACATACAATTGAATAAAATAAACGTGTTCAATATTGATTGCTTTTACACAAACATAATTAAACAAAAACTTATTTGCAGTATATATATAATTTAGCAAAAAAGTAAACGTGTAAGTACCTAAACATAATATATATGTCATTTGTAAATGTTATTCACTTATATAAAAAAAAAAAAAAAAAAATCCGGATGTAATTTTACTGGAGCAATGCCTGCTCCTCCCTGCCCCCTCCCTTTCCCTCCCTCACACAAACACCCTCACCCACCCACCCACGCACATACTCACCCACCCACACACATACTAACCCACCCCACCCCACACACATGCAAACATACACTTTTTAATTATTTTTTTTAACAATTTTGTTTTATTTCTCCAAATGTGTAATACAAACCATAACATACAATTGATTAAATAAACGTGTTCAATATTGATACACATACACGCACACACTTGCACGCACACACGCACCAAAAGCCTATCTCTGACGAAATAAATCATGGAGCCTGTGTTGCCAAAGCATTATGTAAGAACCTGCCCCCTATAATCGAGCGGGGGCAGAATAGAAGAAATTAAGTAAAAGCAGGTCGAGAAGAAAATGAAAATTCTATTTCCGAACTATTGATTTAAAATCAAAATAAATCATATCTATTAAATTGTTGATATTTCATGGCCTCTTCCAATATTGTTTTCAGGATTCTATGGCAGGTGGGGGTGGGGAAGGGCGGGGGGGGGGGGGCGGCGGCTAATTTGGGAACAAATGTTATTTTTGTTGGTAATTAATGTGTAGGCTACTTAGAACATAACAGAACTGCGGCTTTATCACACCGATTTCGAATGTTAAGACTGAAAACTACTTCAACAAATATTGTAAAAAAAAGTGTTGAACATCACTTTTCTACTCTGCAAGACAAACGGATATATATATTCTGTGTCCTTGTCTCTCTCTGTCTCTCACACACTCACTCTGTTTCTCTCTCTGTCTCTTACTCTCTCCCTCCCTCTGTGCTTCTGCCTTTATATCTCCAGTCACGTGTTTCTTCATGCTGGTTGTCGTGAGCGGATGCAGTGTATTCTTCTCTGTATTGGTCCTACGTATGTACCATCACGATGCAACGTCTATCCCTCCGCGTTTGGCCATCAAGATGCTCATGCCTTGGATAAGTAAGGGAAAGAACAAGAATTATATGAGGTGAGAGGTACACTCTAAAACTCAAGGTTAAATCAACGCATAAAAGTACAGAACCTTAAATTACAAGTCCACTCCAAAAATAATTTACTTTCAATAGAAGCAAAAAACTCAGACAAACCAATCAAAAAAAGTTTGAGCAAAATCGGATAACTAATAAGAAAGTTATGCATTTTTGAAAAAATATGTAAACCTATGGAACAATAAATATCACTACACAAATTGCCAATTTGGTTTTCAGTTCGTGACGTCATGTCCTCACTATTTATCAATTGCTTTATATAGTTTAATCCCATTAATTTCCCTTTTTATCCCCCAAAATTGATTCCCCACACCTTTGCCCAGGTTATATGATTTGTATCATATTGTGTGCATGACATTTCACAAAATCTTTTATGAACTTTGAAGAATCAATACTTTTTTCTGAATATTATATATTCATAATTATTGATTTTTATATAAATAGTTTATAAAAAAAAAAATCACATTTTTCATGATTTCACTGGAGAAAAAACAACAACTCTATATTAGTGCATCTACATAAAAACATATTAACATCAATCTAACTTGGATGCTGGTGTGAAGAAATAAGATTCTTAGGGGGGAAATAGGAAATTTATATTATCAATATATAGAAATAATTAGTGGATAGTGAGGACACGACGTCACAGACTGATGAGTGAGTTCCCAATTTGTCTTGTGCTTTTCATTGTTCCATGATAGTTTTACATACTTTTTCTAAAATTCATAACTTTCTTATTAGTTATCCGAATCTGCTCAAACTTTTTTTGATTGGTTTGTCTGATTTTTCTACTTCTATTGAAAGTAATTTATTTTTGGAATGGACTTGTCCTTTAAACGGGCAGCGAGAAGGCGACTTGTTTTACTCGCCAAGGCGCCTTGTTTCAGACGAGAAAGCGAGAATGCTCTTCTTTTTTTTTAAATTCACCTTCTCGTTGCACGTTAAAGCTTCCTTTTGAACGGCTCGAGGAGGGCATCATTTTAAAAATGGAAACATTTTAAACATCTTGGAGTCAACCTTTATAGTGTTGAATCCGGCAAGTGAAAGATGATAATCTCCCATATTAAAAGTGTCATTCCTCAACCCTTTTGGATGCTAGTTTAGAGTGTGCAATGAAAGGACATATATATATATATATATACAGTGTGAGTCAAAAAAAAGTTTACACCTAGAAAATTGCTCATTATTTAAAAAAAAATCATCGCTGAACATTAAACTGTTATATGTCTTTTGAAAGAGTGTTTTATCCCAAATAATTTGGTACCATTTTTGTGTGGTATGTGTTCACGCTCGGATGAACAGGAGACATGGTTTGCGAGAGTGCAACAATCGACTTGCGCCAAAGTTGCCTATGTGATGTTTGAATAAAACAATTGGGATTTGGGTGTTAATTCGGTCTTTGCAGATCCAAATAACATTCCTAACAAAATTAATCATGCCACACATATCAAATATCGAATATCAAATATCAATGAACATTTGAGCGCGTGTGTGTGGGTGTGTGTGACTTTCCCCTTTGCAAAAAAACATATGCAATGCATTTCATTTGATACATTCAATCCATTCTCTCACTCCGCTAATCCCAACATAATACATACTGTAGGCACCACTTTGGCGCAAGTCGATTTGTGCCCTCTCGAAACAATGCCACCTGTTCATCCAAGCGTGAACACATAACACACAAAAATGGTACCAAATGATTTGGGATAAAACACTCTTTCATAAGATGTATAATAATTTACTCTTCATAGATGATTTTAAAAGTAATTAGCAATTTTCTAGGTGTAAACTTTTTTTTTTACTCACACGGTACACACACACACAGGGGTGGCGATATATATATATACAGGGGCGGCGATTTCTTTTCATGACCGGGGGGGGGGGGGGGACGACGAAAAGCGAGATTTTTTTTTACAATATTCACTTTACTTTTTAAGGGATATTATACGAGGGAGCGTAGCGATCGAGCCAGAAGATTTTTGCATTTTTATGAGTCTAAATGCTGCACTCTTCAGTCAGTACTTGTTATACATTTTTTCTCAACTTTTTACAATTTCCAGGGGGGGGGGATACCTGTCCCCGCGATCACCGCCCCTGTATAAATATTATATATATATATATATATATATATATATATATATATATATATACGTACACATAATGTTTTTTGTGGGTGTTGGCGGAGAAGGTTGCATGTCACAAATTCTGGCTTTTTCAAGGGGTCGGGCAACTCAGGTAGGCTAGATGAGCCTAAACATGCTAAAAATATGAACAGGAGTAACACGTTTACCTGCGCAGTTAGAATGTTTTGGATGTGCAAATAAGGTTTATCAATGATAAATATTAGAGACAGAGGGAGAGGATAATTTTCCCCTGCCTCCCCTAATTATTCGCAGGTGATTGTCGGAAATGGATTTGGTCAACATATCCGAGTTAGAATGCTTGTCGAAATTTCATGCTAAGAAATAAAAGCAAAGTGTAGATGCATTGCTTTTTATTAGGTTTCTCACATTCTGCTTACAGCCTTTTCACACACAGCTAAAATTCTATACACATGATTAGTTTAAAGGGCTTTAAAATAAGAATTTCGTGATTAACTACTGCTCTTAAAAAGCGCAGTAGTGCCATTGCGCATTGAAGGTCATGTCATATCAAACAAAGCGCACGCTCCATCCAGTTAAAACACGTTTAACCGTTCACACACAAAATGTCAAGCTCTCTAGATACGAACTTCGTATCTGCAGCCTGCTTTGAGGGGCGTATGAATCGCGACTTCGTATCTATCCGAACATCTTATAAACGATGTTCACACAGGGATTTTTTATAAAGCTGTTTAAAACTGTTGAGTTAAATACGTTTAATTAATCATCTCTAGATACGATGAATTTTAGCTGTGCGTGAAAAGGCTGAAGATCTATCATATGAATTGAGAATCATTGAGACGTGCTCATATATACTACATGCAGTGGTGTACGCAGGATTTTGTCAAGGGGGGGGGGGGGCTAACAAGCGGGGGTGGGGTAAGAGCACTTTTTGTTTTGTTTTTTGGTCCCACATTGTTTAATTTTTATTTTATATGTATGTCTATACTTTGTGTAAACTGTGGAACAAATAAAACTCGAAACTTGAAATGCAAATTGAAAGCACATTACTTAAAGATCGGGCGACATCCAAATATAAGTTGATTCCTGTTGATGCGCAAGGCTGCATACAAATCAAATTTTATTATTCAAACATCTAGATATATTTCATATATGTTTAAATATTAAAACAAATAAAATTCTCAGACCTGCTAAGCTCTAACGAAATATAATGACATCATCTCTCAATTAGTGAGCTAACATGAGACAGTGGTATGTAACTTCCCCTGGCTCAGCACATGCTCACAAAAGAATTGCATTCTTTCGAACAATACCTCCATATTACCTTTCTTTTCCTGGTGATGCTATAATACGTCGGACATAGCAACTCTTATACTGGTATTGTAATGGTCTTTTCTAAAATGGTGGTGGTAAATTTAGAAAGAAATTAATTAAAGTTAAATGAACATCCTTTTTTTTAGCGAAAAAATATTTTGTTTACTTAAAATTTATTAGCAGTGTTACATTACGTATTGAATAGTTCTCTTCAAATCTTTTTCTCCGTCCAATATATTTTTTTTAACACCAGTATGTAACCATGATCTTTTTTAATACCGATATGCCACAGCATGTATTTGTTTAAAGTATTTCAGTACTTTTTGTTCACTAATGATTTAATACACTATTTACTTTAAATCACAGGAAATTTTACAGCTCCTCTCTACCCAACATCACGGACATCGTTTTTATGAACGGGAAAACGGAGGTAAATAAAAGTAGTTCCAAGGCAGACGATGATCAAGAAATGGATGACAGAAATGTATATTTATGGAAACAAACGGCCCTGGCATTTGACTCCTTCTGCGGAACGATTCTCTCTCTCTGTATGCTTGGCACATTGCTGTATGCTCTCATCAGTTTCCTTATGGGAATATAGTTAATGTGACGATTCGTGCATTCTAACTGCTACTGTGCTGGGGGGTGTTTCACAAAGATTCTAAGTCGAACTTAACTCTAAGTTGGACTTAAAAATTATGGAGAGCCATTTGTAGCCTTAAAATAAAATATACAATAAAAAGCAAATATTCAAGTATTTTAGACTTTTTATAAATTCCACATCAAAAACATGAAATCTCTCATCATAATTGAAAATATTCATGATTTAAATCAACATTTTATGCCTTTTAAAATAAGTTTTACAAAATATTTTCAAAGGTGCTACTGACGGCTTTCCATAATTGTTAAGTCCAACTTAGAGATAAGTTAAAATTAGGATCTTTGTGAAACACCCCCAGGTGTCCTATTATGCGACAAACAGCCCATGTATTTTCCACCGAACACTGTTTTACCAAGAAATATGCACGTGGTGCTTGGTCTATTTGTTTCAACCTTTAGAGCAAGAATCATTCATACAGTAGGCTTGCGGGTGCACCATGTGAGAGTGAGAGTGACTATCAGGAGTGACTATCCGTCGTCAGGAGTTGACTATCCGTCGTCTCCTGACGACGGATAGTCAACCTGTTCGAAACGTCGAGCCACTCCCGCCACTCATCCTCTCCAAGCGCTATAGTTCTCCTTAGAACTATAAGCTAAGAAAGATAACCAACAGTCTTTTTCAAGACTATACCAACAGTCCTTTTCAGGACACCCTCAGAAAAATTACCAAGAGTCCTTTTCAGGACTCCTCAATCCTCGGCCCCTCTCTCTCTCTCTCTCTCTCTCACACATGGTGCACCCGCAAGCCTACTGTATATCTACATCACCATGCAAGCCGATACTTACAAGCAGCATCTAAGAATCAATCATTTTTAATATTTAAGAAAGATTAGATCCAATACTAATTTTTAAACTATTTTTTTCAAATTAAAAATTCCAGATTTTTAACGTGATATTTTCTCACTTTAACATAACAAATGATAAATATAATACTTTGGGGGCATTTATTGATCTGTGTACTCTCTTGACCTTTGCTCTGTGTATTTTTATATTCCCTATATTTATTGTTTACATATATTTTATTTCTTTTCTTGAACTGTTATATCATTGTTTCTTTTAAATGTGCTTTTTTATGACAAATGAAGAAGGAATAAATGAGTAACAAAAACGTAAAGGACAATAGGAAACTAATTTTATTTAAAGATAATTGTGATGCAGGAAATGAAGTGAAGTAGAAAGGCATGTTAATCATCACAAACTATAACGAATATTCTATAACTTTGGTATATAAAATGTGGTAATTGGTTTAAACACTGGAGAAGTTCTCGAAGCTTGGAATGTAAGTATTGTTTGTGTTTTAGTAGTCTCGGAACAAGAAACTAAGGAGATAATAATTATCTCCTTGGTGAAGAGCACAATTTGTTTACATGAGCACTGATATCGAAAAAAGTGAACCAGGCCTGACAACACATGAACTTTCCATCTTTCTTTTTTCTTTACCACTTTACTTCTTTTTCTCGATATTCTTTCTTTTTCGTTGTTATCATTATTATTTATTTCATTTATTTACATACTCATTATCATTATTATTATATATTTCTTATATTATATAGTTAATAGTGTAATCGATGTACCTCATTTTCTTTTCTTTTATGATAAGGATTATGGCAATATTAACAGTTGTATTAATAATTAATAAAAATAATAATAATAAGAAGAAGAAGAAGAATAATGATGAGAATTATATTAATATTGATGATAATAACGTAAATAATGTTAAATATTGTAATAATATTAATGAAAACACTAATAATAATTATAATGATAACAAAAATGATAATGAAATAATAGTAATCATAATAACGATCATGTTTACTCAGGGAAGCCTCATAAGCTTCAATGCGTATAATCCTCCCGAAGGCACTGCAATTATCATTACTGCAGTAACTACAAGGTACTCAGTTACACCAGGGTGAAGAGTGGCAAATGTGGATTAATGTCTTGCCAAAGGACGCTATATAGGACCATACTGAGATTCGAACCCCAAACCTTTGTATTGAAATACAAGTGAATGAACTTCTTTACAGCGTCACATTCTCTTTTAGATATATTGATTACTCAACAATGATCAAATTGGAATCACGTATGTTGTTGCACGCTTAGCCACGCCCATGATTGTGTTGAGCAAGGCTGCTTACTTTTCTCAATTTGCTTATTTATTTAAAATTAAAAAAAAATCATTATTACTAATAGCTTTCAGATTTATATTTCATAGCATTGTCAAATAATGTAAATTGAGAAGGAAGTCACAAAGTGTAATAATGTTGCACATCAATTTTAGAAAATAAAACTTTCCTTATTTTCATGATTATTTTCCATATTAAAACCGTGTCGTAATCAGAGTATCGACTCACTTGTCAATGTAATTTTTTCAGCCAGTGTAAATTAACATACTTTCAAAGAATACGAGAAGTCTCAATAAAAGTAATACCAAACAGGATTGCAGCGAATAATCATATAATTTAGGCATTACGTCGGGATTGACTTATTCTTCCTTTTATAATTTGTGTTCACATTTTAAAACTCCTACTACTACTTTTACTTTTAATGCTACAATTACTACTACTACTACTACCAACACTAGTAACAGTAGACTAGTAGTAGACGTTTAGTTGTAGTAGTAGTAGTAGTAGTAGTAGTAGTAGTAGTAGTAGAACTATTATTATTATTAGTTTTAATAGTAGAACTACTATGAATAGAAGTAGCAGTAGTAGTATTAGTAGAGTAATGACAGTAGTAGAAGTAGTAGTAATAGTAGTAGTGGTAGATTTTACCGACGCTCACAATGCTGAGCAAACTACTTTTGCATCCTATCGGGTACCCATATAACAATTGAGTGGAGAGTGACACATGTAGATTTAGTGCCAAAGGACGTTAGTGTCGGGCTGGGATTTGAACCCGTACCTTGTGATCTGCAGTCGAATGACTTATCCGCTAGACCACAACACCTCTACATGGCATAGAAAGGCGAATGTGTCACTTTTTTTTTTCATATTTGGAACAACCCCAATCTCTTAGGGCAAGTCCGAGCTAATTTTATCACATACGTGACCGAACACATCTAAAATATACCTGATGACTGTTTCAAGCTGATAGCCCAACTACAACTTGAAACAAAAATATCAATAAAATTTGGTAACGTAATGAGGCATACCCAGGACTTTGCCCATAACCTTGAAATCAGATTCATAAGTTTTGCTTCTTTTTTTGTTCTATATCATTTCATATATTCCGCTTTGCTATCAATCTAGTGATGTACGTTAAGTGTATATTCATTTCCCTTTATTTTTTTCTTCATTTTAGTTTTCTGTATGAAATTAAATTTTTGAAAAGATTCTCTCTGTATATATTTTACTTTATATATAGTTTTTTAGGATTCGAGCGAGTTTGTAGGCTTTTACTCCCACTGACCAGGTTATGGGATGAATATACAGCGTACGTGTGACAAAAATCGACAGACCGATGTTCGTTCCATTTATCCACCCGAACCCGCCGTAAAACATTGTTTGTGTTAAAGGTAATACAAAGTTTTGGGATATTTTGAAAATTGGGTGGATAGTGATTCTTTATAATTTTGGTATAATTGGATTCCCATGTGGATGTATTATAATCCCTAGAAAATGTATTCCCTAAAACACTTCTGCTTTTGAGAAAAATTGAATATAAAAATCTACCGGTGCTCCCTTTAAATTTTGACAAATTTCAAATAGCGCCTACCGCCATACAATGGTATCTGCGACCATGAAAATCTCAGAATATGTAGTTGTGATATATAATTTCCAAACAGGATTAGCTAATCGGTCGATTTAAGTCAAGAAACATTGTTTCATAGCTTAATTAATATCTTGACCTTGAGAGGGAGCTATTCAACATAAAGAGTTTATTATTTACAATTTCATAACTTTAGACTCGAATTCAACCGCGACCAAGCGCGTAGCCAGGATTTCATTTTAGGGGGGGCGGTAGTGAGCACGCAAAGCGTGCGAATCACTTAAAGAGCGCGCAAAGCGCGCTCCCTAGGGGGGTGGGTGCAGGGAGGGGGGAGTTTCCCCCCTCCCGCGCAAAGCGCGGAAGCTTTGAAAGAAGACGATTCGTTGTACCTTTCTCGACTCATAATCCTTGTCTGAATTCAGTCCCTCCCCTCTCTCGCGCGAAGCTTTGACGTTTCATTAAATTATTAGAGAAAGAAGACGATTCGTTGTACCTCTCTCGACTCTTAATCCTTGTCTGAATTCTGTTCCCCCCCCCCTCTCGCGCGAAGCTTTGATGTTTCTTTAAATTTTTAGAGAAAGAAGACGATTCGTTGTACCTTTCCCGACTCATATTTCTTAATTTGAACTCAGTTTCCCCCTTCCCGCGCGAAGCGCGGAAGCTTTGACGATTCATTGTACCGTTCTCGACTCCTTTTCCCTTTTTCTTCCTACGTCCTCTTTCTTTTTTTTTCTTCTCTTTCTCTCTCTTTTTTTTTTTTTGGCCGGCGTTTTGGGAGGGGCGACCGCCCCCACCGCCCCCCCCTGGCTACGCGCCTGACCGCGACAACGATCACTGGATATTGTAGGATCGCATATGCTTCCAATATGTTCATTTCAACCAAATTCATGACCCCATACCAAAACTTTAAGTTACAGCTGTTAAAAGATGCGGATTTTCAGAAGTGGCATCTTGTTTATGAAAATTGGTCGGTCTAATTGTATACGTCGAAGTAATATTTCACTCAGTCTTGGCCATCTATATTAAAGGTAATACAAAGTTTTGGTATGGGGTCATGAATTTGGTTCAAATGAACATATTGGAAGCATATGATCCTACAATATTCAGTGATCGTCGTCGCGGTCGAAATCGAGTCTTAAGTTATGAAAATATAAATGATAATCACTTTATGTTGTATAGCTCCCTCTCAAGGTCAAGAAATTAATTAAGCTATAAAAAAATGTTTCTTGACTAATATCGACCGACTAGCTATTCCCGTTCGAAAATTATATACCACAACTACATATTCTGAGATTTTCATGGTCGTAGCTACCATAGTACGGCCGTAGGAGCTATTTGAAATTTATCAAAATTTACCGAGAGCACCGGTAAATCTTTATATTCAATTTTTCTTGAAAACAGAAGCGTTTTAGGGGCTAAAATTTCTAGTGCTTCTATTACATCCACATGGGCATCCAAATATATCAAAATTGTAAAGAATCACTATCCACCCATTTTTCGAAATTTCCCAAAACTTTGTAATACCTTTAAAGTTTGTATTAACCTCATAATGCGGTGTTGTTATTCTACAATTGCTGTGATGCAGTTTAGATGTATTATATGATACAGGGGCACAGGGCTATCATGTTAAACAATATTAGTTATACATGTACTTTTATTTCGAATTTATTACATTGTTCAGTCCACTTTAATGTTGCCCTACATGAACTATGGTATACTTGCCTGAGGTAGTTCATTGAACACCAACCGGGCAAAATCCTGGTTGTTCAAAAAAGAGCAATACGTACGATTTGCAATGTACCTATTCGTACTCACTCGAGCCCTCTCTTCTTTCATACTAAGGTACTGAGAGTTCAGGATATTTTTAATTTACAATGAGGCTGCCTAATGACTTGTTTCAGCTGAAAAACAACGAACTGTCCCAGGCACTATCATATTTGTTTAAGAAAAGAAATCAAGTTCACGACTATCCGACCCTACAGGCGTTTTCCTATCAACCTTCCTAGAACGAGAATACGCTTTGCTCAACATACCTTAATATATAAGGTCCCAAGTTCTGGAATTCTGTCGATTCTGTGGTTAAAAGGTCTGTAAGTTCATGTATTCAGAAGAAAATCGAAATGTCATTATTTGAATACATATTGTCATTCCTGATTCCTAACTATTTTTGTCTCCAAGCAGTATACTTTTGTTGATTACAATGAGTAAATAACAGTATATGGCCATGCCAACTATACTGTCGATATTATACTCATATTGGGAACAAACTATTGTTTCAATAAGTTGCAGATAATTATATATTCCCTTCCCTTTCCCTTTTTTGTGTAAGTAATTGTGAGTATCGGTTAATGAATCCCTATAATCTCTCTCCTTTCCCTGTTTTAGCTTGTATTTGTATTTTATAAACCTAACTTAAGTTAATTATGTCATTTGTAGTTTAAGGAGCCTATCCACAACAAGCTTTGCTTTTCCATAGGCTCCGTCACTTTATCTCAATTGTCTGAATAGTGTGTACCGCGGTATTGTATGTACATGAATATTATACTAATTTTTCAATATGTTGTACATACAATCTTTGTAAAATGAGATACTGTGGAAAGCAATAAACTAACTATCTATCTATACATTTCTAGCTGGTATTACTACTAAACAGAACACGTCACAACTTTTCCAAGAACCCACACCATTGCATCTTGTTACTCAATTTCCAAACAAACACATCTTCCTTACAGAGAGCCACGATATTTATATTCAGAAGAGACACTAGGTATGCATGTATACAATCTTAATGAGTCATTTATTTTTCTGACTACCAAGTAATCTGTATAAAAACACATCATCATTGTTATGGCATAAGTTTGCAAACACGTCACCTCTGACAGAAATGCTGTTCTATGACATATTGTTTGTTATACGTATGGGTACTCGCTGTTTCCTCAACATTTTACCAATGAAATAAGTATAACCGAACAAAACAAAACACGAACCCTTTACTCAACCACGAACAAAAAAGCATAGGCATATCAGCTGATTTCCTAAACTTATGATCTTCTTTGAAATAAAACAAACTTAGGTTTGTCTACTTCCAGTGGCGTATCCAGGACTGTAGCCGATGTGTGCCCCCTCTCTTTTAAAGGCACATAAAAATAGTTATAATAATTATACAGAGGTATATCATCTCTCTTTTAAAGGCACATAAAAATAGTTATCATAATTATACAGAGGTATATCATGGTGGTAAGAATTAACATCGACCCCCCCCCCCCCCCCCCCCCAATCAAGGGAGAAACCTGCTCTTCCTTATCGAATTTTGAATACACAATTACTACTGATATTTAACGACTGTCTGCGAAACATTAAAAACAAAGCAATACATAATCAACAATGGAAAATAAATATCATTAAAAAAAAAACGATGCGTAGACAAAAAAAGTGGCGTTTTTGTCATGAATACTGTCCTTAGGCCTCAAGTCACACCAACGACATCGGCACGAGATCGACTACGTACATGCCATCACAAAATGACACTACCCTCGGTCTGGGGGGGGGGGGGCGTTTCACAAAACTTGTCATCAGTGACAAACGACTGAAATCCTTGCTTCTGATTGGTTATCAACAGATTTGTCACTGATTTTTGTCATTTGGCATTCAAAAAAGGCTTTGTGAACCGGGACCCTGGAGTCAGGTTGGTGTGACTGAGGTATTACATATTTTTATAATCATTACAACTGTCCTTTACTGATGATGCAAACAGCCATGGCAACGTTGACGATGACCCCAATGACATGAGCTAGCAGGCGGGAGGGTTGCGGGAGGGGTGAGAGGTAGGCTATGGTGTGGAAGACTCGAGAGAATGCGAATGTACGGAAGAGAAGCGAAGCTGCATTGAAGGTAGGCTCTGTTGCTACGTAGAGCAAGCCCAATGCAATGAAAGGAACGATGTTTTCAAGATCGTTTACATGGCATCTGTAAAGGAATGAAGAAAAAAATCACACAATCTTATCCTAGGTCTATGTAATATAAGAATACGACCGCCCCTTCCCTTACTCTAGAAAAGGAAAATAAATTTACTCTTTTTACTGTAACCCCGCCCCTCTGCTCCACCCCGAGTTGCGAGAAACAGTTCCCGGGAAAATTGTCATGCTTTTTTCTTTTTTTGGGGGGGGGGGGGGGGTGAGTTGTACTAACCTCTACTTAAGTATAAAAAACAGTTAATTTTGTTTATTTTTTTAATAATAATAATTATCATTAATATTATTATTGCTATTATTGTTGTTGGTCCTATTATTATTATTTTCATTATTACTATAATCGTTATTATTATAATTGTTATTATTATAGTAGTAGTAGTAGTAATTCCTGTAGTAGTAGTAGTAGTAGAAGTAGTAGTAGTAGCAGTAGTAGTAGAAGTAGTAGTAGTAGTAGTAGCAGTAGTATCAGAAGTGGTGGTAGTAGCAGAAGTAGTAGTAGTAATATTTTATTTAAATAGAGAGAGATAAATAAAATAAAAATAAAAAGAAGAATATTGAACAGGTTTTCTTACCTTTTAAGTCTTTCTACATTTTGATCATCATAAATAGGTTTGAGTTTATTACTGTCGTCTCGGGCTAAGGCTAAGTCTTCATGGTTGGCAAATACCTGGAAAGAAAGACAGAAAGGAAGCAAAAAAGAAATAGAAAGAAAGATAGACAGAGAGTAAATAGCAAGAAAGAAATAAAGAAAAAAAAAACAACGTGAACTAAAATAAGCGTTTAATAATGTTTCACCCCTATAATATTACAGCTCGTTGCAATTATCGTAACATCAATAAGAATTCTTTAAAAGGTGTAATGCAATGGTTAGACGCAATAATGTTTATGTTATAAAACATGACATGAATATCGGCTCCCCTGTCTCACACACAAAAACAGAGAAATATATACATTATATTTTCGATATTTCATATTTACGTTGCCAACTTTTCAGCTTCTTTGAGCTAAATTTCACATCTCCAAATGGGTGTCGATTCGGTTAAAAATGGGCATGTGTGCCACGGGATGGGCCACCCACCGCTTTTGCCTGCAGTATGCCTTTACTGCACTCCTGTTTCTGTCCATCTTATAAGAAAGGGGGAAAATCCATTTTTTTCCCTCAAAATCATGAGACCCGTCTGCAAACCAATTTTAATAGGCAATTTCGGACTCTCAGTGGGAAGCGCATTTCTCGCAATTAACCAATTACCTGTAAGCATGCTATAATGCTCTTTATTCATTCACATTCTGTTTCGTGGCCGCAGTGATCTAATTTGCTTTGAATATAATGCACCTTCTTAGGCACTGTAATTGACCATTGACGAAAGGAGTGATTCAAGAATGTTCTAGAATAAAAGGACGGTCTATCATTCAGAATAATTGTATAAATATTTATTCTAAGCATTTATGGTTGTTGTGTACTAGGTAAAATTTGATCTCAAAAGAGGGGGGCGGGCCGTTGCGCCCCACTAAATCGGGGATAATAATTGTGATAGGTGACTACTTTTTTCATGAAACAATTAATTTCCTACTGGAACAATCACCATAAATAAAACATAGAGAACGCCAATAATCATGTAAACCCTAAGAAAATACTATAAGCATGATCCTGGCCACGTCATATTTATAGAATAAATATGTGCATCCAATAAGGGTTTCCGATATCATTATTAGTGTTTGTTTTCTAAAGCAGATAATGTATTTCAATTGGAGGAATAAGAGCCACATGCAACTTTCTAAACATCTGGGTAGGGACTCGAGAAAGTGGAACAAAAGAACCATTATATCATAGTACCCTCATTTTTAGTTATATGCTCAAATTTCAGACGCTAAACCCCTCAATATACCACGCGTGACTCACTCTGTGATCACACACACACACAAGGGCATCAGAGAATGATCACAGAAAGATACACCTGTATATTATGCTCTTATAGATAAGGAAAGTCATCAATACTATATGGTATTTGCATTCTACAGCCATGAAACACATTACAAATAACATAAAGGTAAAAATACGGTTAACTCCTCTATAGGCTACATTATGTTTGGAAAGAAAATTCACAATGTAGCTAGGCCTATACAATTTTTTTGATACAAACTTTGTACTATCATTTTTATTTTTACTGTGGAATTTCATTTTGTTATTGACAGACTCGACTAAGATATAATTTACCAGAAAACAGAAATAAGTATTTTGGAGAGACAAATCATTTCGATATTAGAATAATAAAGAAGTGTTATCAACTCTTCTTGTGTTCTTTGTGTTTTTTCTTGTTTGATGCAAGGTGTGATGTTTTCTTGGTTAAGTGTTAATCATGTGCAGATATTGTAAAATAGACTGAATAGCAAGCAATCGTGTGGCGACTTCAACAAAATGTATTTCATAAGTCATGTAGGCTTCGTCGCATTACAAATTATTACAAAGCATAAACGCAATAAATGATTGAAACATGAGTTAATTAGCAGTTGATCTGCTGTCTCCATCACTGTAGACTACTATAACTCGAGTGTAGAATTGTTTAGTACCCCGTCTTTTTTTTTACTCAACCAGAATTGTAATCGCACACTAGTACAGAGACGTTGACATTTTAATTCTAACCCATCATGGATATACTAATTAATAGGATACTACCGTACGACCACGCCCAAAGATAACTAAAGACTTTTCTGAAGTGCTATAAAAAGAGGCCTATTGAAAAGGGGGAACGAAGAATAGATAGCAGGATATAAGAGAAGGACGAATAACAGAAGATTACTGAGAAAGAAGACAAAAGGAAGAGAGATTGCGATCGATAAGAAAGCACACAAACCTCAGTTTTGGTCAGTATCATGAGTATCAGTAAAGAAATCTGAGAATATAAACCTGTACATACCTTATTTTGAAAACGGTATTTCGATGTCCAAATGCCGACTGCTAGCATCTTGATGATAACGATGGAAGTATAGGTCGCGAAAAGGCAGAATATTTCATTTTCAAATGAATACAAAGCTGCAGATGCCATGATTTCAGAATGTATAAACAACAACTGACCGACACAGTTAATTTGGCATTACACCTGGATTGTGGCATTCGACCTTTAGACAGAATACTATATACAGCAAGGGGGCTATTATATGAATGGAAAAGATGCAATAAGTGGGCGGGGAGCGTAGTCTGCACACACAAACCTTTGTGAGTCGTAATGCATAAGACGGGGTCTGAATTAGGAAACTGTACAAAGGCTGCGCTCAATAAGCACTGTACTTTAGCCCCTCTTCTTATTTAGAACAGCCAGAGACTGAACTAGTTGGCTATATGCTCAAAATTTTAAATAATTGAGATTAAATGTCAAACTATAGTCTGCTTTTAAAGACTACATAAAGGTAGGAAGTGGGAACGGTAACTGATTACGCAATACCAAGGTCCGGGTTAATCCATTTTGTGACGAGGGACGGCAACAAAAAAAGGCTAGTGAAAACTAAACAAGACGGGGGCCGTGTCTCGAGGCGCAAGCATATTTATAATTTAACTAATGGGAATGTGTTGTTTATGTATTTTTAATTGATTTATTTATTCGTTTATTAATCAATTAATCACCATTATTTTTTTCTTCAAGTATTTATTAATTCATTCGTTCATTCATTTATTTATTTGTCTTAATTATTTAGGTGTTGATTTATCCATTTGTCCCATATATGTGTGTGTCGCTCTCTCTTCTCTTATTCTTTGCACCCCTCTCTAATTTCTCTCTTTTTCTTTCCCTTTCTCCCAATTCCTCCTCCTCTTTCTTCCTCCCTCTCTCTCTCCTCACCCCCTTGTCTCTACATATGTGTGTGAATCTTTTGCTGTCTCTTCTCTAAGTTCTCTGTACATGAATGTTCTTCCATTGGATTAGTCCATGCCATGTATAACTACAAACCACACAATACGCAATTATAATTTAAATGGAATCTTGGATAAGGTTTATGCTACAGTCAAACCTGCTTTAGTGACCACCTGTCTGCAAGGACCACATTTTTTTGTTTTCCTTGGGTGGTCGCTATAGACAGGTTTGACTGTATTGTGAGTATAAATGGATCAATTATTTGATAATTTAACTCACATACCTTAGTTTTGTACCACTGTGGTACATTTTTCTTTTCATTTAAATTCCAATAGAAAAAATTATTAGAAGATTATGATACACCTATGAAACATTTCTAGCTGTTATTACTACTAAACAGAACACTTAACCACTTTTTCAAGAACCTACTATTGTATCTTCCTTACAAAGAGCCACAACATTCATATTCAGAATAGACAACAGGTATGTATACAATCTTAACGAGTCATTTATTTGTCTGACTACCAAGTAATCTGTATAACTATAAACACATCATCATCGTTATGACAAAAGTTTGCAAACACATCGACTCTTTAATCAACAGAATCTGCCAGAAATGCTGTTCTACGACACATCGTCTGTTAAGTATGGGTACTCGCTTTTCCTTTGCTTGCCTTTCGATGTGCAAACATACCATTAACCAAATTTAATGAACTGTTTAACCCTGGTACATATTTTGTGTGTTCAAATATAGTACCAACGGTTGTTGAAGTGTGAATTATATTGATATAAATATTTTATTCCTAAAAATAGCTTCATCTTTACTTTTCATCCCCGTTTTGATTTAATCAGTACTTCAAACCCATAACTGGTGTTTACAACCTTTTGTCATACACTCAAAATGTCCCTTGTATACAACGATGGGAAGGCATATATTTATAACAAAGGATACTCATATTACAATCCTTTACACATTGTATTTACACTGTATAATAGTAAGATTTATCAGATTAGTCAATGCAAAAAGGGGTTATGTACAAATATGATGTTTCACAGAAATTAATTTTAGTTTGACATTAACCTTTCTTCATACTAATATACTGGTCAGGGAAAAGTAAAATAAGAGCTGGATTTGGGGAGGGAGCAGTCCAATCCTTGGGTCAAGCAACAAATAAATTGATAAACACGACATTTTAGGATCATACCATCAGTTAAGAGTCAGAAGAGCATTAACACTCTAACTCTGGCTCAAAACAGGGGAGGGTTTCACAAAGACTAAGATCGACTTTAACATATACTGCCTATAGAACTTTTTTCCTTCTTCAGAATTTGAGAAATTGTCGTTTTATTTGCATATCAGATCACAGAGGGAAAAACTGAACATGTGTGTGCCTGGATGTAAGTGAGAATGGATTAAAAATATGTTGCTTTGATACCAAACAATAAATACTTCCAAGTACCAGTAAATGCAAATATTTGAAGGCCTATATAACCTGGTAAAATGACTTCAAATATAGCAAGTCAACTCTCTCTTACAAACAAATTATACCAAGGATTACTGCTTTTTTTTATCACCAAGTCTCTCTGTTAACATAATGTAATTCACATTATCTGCTAGTCAACAATCGTTTGTAGAGACAGGGCTTCGAAATCTGATGAATACAAATTTTATTTGATATAAACATTACTCCTTTTTCTTAAATAAAAAGCATATTTCGTATTTTCACATTTGACAAGTAGGTTTTGCATTTACTAATGTGTTTATAAAAATAAGTCAATAAGAAGTTACAAAACTTCAACTTAACAGAATTTAGAGAACAATGGCACATGTTTATTCCTAAAACACTGAGAAAACAATGCATATTTTTTTTTATTTCTAGAACACTTCATCATGCAGTTGGCTTAACAGAGGTATAAACAGAATTCAGAATTGAAATGCTAGTACTTTGTTTAAGAAATGTTTATCTTCCGATATACTGTCAGCTCTGAAGCCTTGCACCCTCTGTGCTGTCATTCTACACTTGATTTGTATATGTTCAGGAGTGTTTCACAAAGCCTTTTTTTCAATGACAAATGACAAAAATCAGTGACAAATCTGCTGATAACCAATCAGAAGCAAGGATTTCAGTAGCTTATAACAAAAACTGTCATTTGTCACTGATGACAAGTTTTGTGAAATGGGGCCCCAGTTCTATACATTTCACATTATTATGGACATCAACCAACATGAAACATACAATGTATAAACATTCTCCTCCTTAAACAGAGAGAAAAATGGAGAATGATCAAATGGAAGCATCAATATACATGATTACTGGTATCCAGTGACTGCTCAAAAGCAGTATTTCAAAAATCATGATAGGTAATAATAATAACAACAGTGGGTTATTGTATAGCACTCATATCTGTCAGACTTGACACTCCTGGCGCTCCACAATCATTACCCTGGCTTTAGCACGGCCGCCATTACGGCGCTCTAGCATTTCAAGGAATTAATTCCTGCCAGGTACCCATTTACATCACCTGGGTTGAGTGTGGCAAATGTAGATCAATGTTGAGGGTTCAGTGACACAAAGACGTAACTCCGTATTTTGCCAAAATCATTATTTGATATCAAAATGTTCAACAAAATGTGGGCTTTCCAGTAAACACAAAGACTTAACTCCACCCAACACCCCCATTGAAGTCAATGGCTAGTGAAACATAGACTTAACTCCTCAAGGCCCAAGTGCTCAGTGACACATAAACCACTTTTTCTCAAAATGGCCAAAATGGAGTTACGTCTTTGTGTCACTGACCCCTCGATATATTCATCACCTATCTGTAAGTCCTCAGGATCCTGCAGTCCTCCATGGCCCCGTTTCATTAAACCAGTAATCAATAACAAGTTCCAATAACTGTTATAAGCTACTGAAATCGTGGCATTTGATTGGCCGACAGCTAGTTTGTCGTAGAATTATAGCATTTGTTATTGAAAACGGGTTTGATGAAACAGGGCCAAGGAACTAGAAACAAATTCAACTACAGACTAAGACAAAGGCTTTTCTTTTAGTGTAGAAAGTAGATGCCTGCTGATGCCTTTGAGAACTATTACGTACACAGATACATTTTGTGCAGACATTACCCAACAACCCACTGCAATATAAATTTTGCAATGACATTCACATCATCTTTTACCCAAGGAGATTTGACATTGTTTTGAGAGTACTGCCCCAGCATTTAGTGTTCCGTCTTCAGCTTAGATTCTCAAATGGGACTTGTCCTTGACCATGTACCTGGAAATGAAAAGGCACAGAATTAAAACATAGAAAGATAAATTAGTTACCAAGGAGAGATAATCACCACAAAGTGATATGACTCGTACAATTGGTCTTTAAAGGAAGTTCATTAAATTTAGGCCCCCGCTTCTGACTCACTGTATTCTTACCTGTGCTTTACAAGAAACGCAGTCAAGACCACATCCACTCAAAATTCTCAAAACGTATTTCCATTGTGCCTCATGACCATTCAGGTACTAAATCAAAGGTGATGCAAAAGTACTAATAGGTTTTTAAATGTATTATCAAAATAGAATGCAAGCAGTGGAAATATTTGACGGGCGCTACTTACTTGTCCAAGACTTCCCAGAAATTGAGAAGTCTAGCCTTGTCCAAATGGCGTTTACTCCGACTGAGATCCATGACGTGTACATTCCATTTCTTGACATTGGGATCGATCTTGAGATTATCATACTTCAAATGGAAACCACGAACTGAAAGGAAGATGATTGATAAAAGCAGCTATTTCAGACATCCCAATGGTGACAAGTACAGCAGTTCATAATAGAGTATCGAATCTGTAACGTCATAAAACTCTATTTTGAGAATTTCTTGATTTGAACTTCATTTTCTGTAAGAGCATAAAAAATAATGTCCAAATGTCGAAAACCAATTGAATAAGTCAAGTATTGGCTGAGATATGACCATCCGAATAAATAAATTTCCTATAGAAAATCACTTTTATTTTGCTCTGGTTCATAACTTCAAGAACCAGAGCAAAATAATAGTGATTGAAATCTACTTTTTTGGATGGTCATATCTCAGCCAATACTGAACATATTCAATTGATTTTCAACATTTGGACATTAATTTTGATGCTCTTTCGGAAATTGAAGTTCAAATTTGGAAACTCAAAAAATAGGTTTTTGATGACGTCACACTTGACCACTCTATGGTGTTATAATCAGATGTTTGCATTAAGTTAAGCTTGAGTTCTGGTAATTTTAGAAAATAAATTCTCATAGAATCCAACAA